TATTAGTATCATAGTATATGTTGTGTTGATATCATGAGCCATCTAGATACTTTTATTATAGCCTATAGGCTATTATGTGTAATTTAGTAAGCTGTGGCGTATCCGATATTCCGATAGAACTTCGGGAACAGTGTCAACAGTGTGGACGGTTGTGTTCAAAACAAGCCATGTATTTTCTGCTACCAGTCCTAACTATTGACGATGAACGCAGTACTGCAGTAGTGACATAAATATTGCGCAGGATGCAAGGACGTCGAGGATGTAGTATTGTAGTGTGATCCACCGACGTCTTCTGAGCATGCCGAGCATGGGCACTAAGAAAACGAGTTTTGACTTTTCGAACAAATYTAATGATCGACATCGTTTGAGGTCTGACGTCTGTCGCTGTGATGTCCACCATGGCGGATAACATTCACTTTCATTATTTGAATTAAAGGTTTAAACTCGCCAGACACCGAAACCAATTTTTGTCAATTCTTAGACCATTCGTTCGAGTTCGGAGTTTCAATCAAATCTAATGACTAGGAGATTTTCAACATTTTTGTGTCCATATCATCACTTTAGAGCAATCGTGTTTTGGCCACTATATCGAATCAACTATGCAAAATTGGAAATATTTTCACCGCAGTGTGCGACTAGTTACTAGTTTACTTGGTATTTTACTAGAATATTGAMACTACAGACAGTGTTTTTAACAATGCGTAAGTAAGCACATACTCAAAATAAATTCCTTTTACTTTGTATAATTATAAATAATTTTCCAACCTATCTAACCATAGTAGGGAGATTATTTTTATAATTTTTTTTTATTGCAGGATAAGCTTAACAAAACACAGCTGCCTTGCCATTATCATCAAGAAACTCTGAGCTGAAAAAAATTACTACAAGGTATAGATTATTATTTTTTCTTGTATCAATAAATAATAGGTTAATATTACAAACTGCCAGCTTTAACATCTACAAGTTCATGTCAGTACAAACATTGTATTCATGAAATAAATTAATCGGTTTGTTATCATTGACTTTTTACTCAATAGTTAGATAGTCAATATTTTAAACATTTAAGGGCATTCCAGCACATAAATCTATGAATAATATTAATTGTAGTGGTAAATAAATTAGTAAGAAAGCAAGTGGTCAACACTTAGAATTGTTTGAATAGCACTATATTAACTAACTATTAACTGTTAATGCTACCTATAGAATATTAGTGTAAATATCTTTAAAAAAAAAAACAATGTACCTATTGCATTGTATGATGCTAAATATAATATTAACATTTTTCATTTTAGATGTTTTAAACTGTGTTATTTACTTATTTGTACAGTACTGCAACATTAAATTATTTCCTTAGGTTGCTAAAGAAAATTGAATATGTTCAATCTTGTTTTATCATAAATTATAAAGTAGTTTGACAATCATTTTTAGGTCATGAGCAAAGTAAAATATGTGTTAACATTTAGATTTTTGTTATAATATTATACTATAATACTGGATATACTATATACTCTTGAACATATTGTGCTGGTACTTAAGCTACTGGTTACTGCTGATTGGGTTAGTAATAACACKGCTATGAATTTTAAAGTTGATAAATCATTATTCATATCATTTTTACGTAGTTTATTTTTTAACTATTAATAACTGTTGCGAACTTGTTTCAATTTTTAAAATTAGATTGTGTTGATTCACTCATGAGCTGYCCATTATTTAATTTTTAATTTTGTCTCAGTAACTATAGTTAGGTTAAATTAAAATTATAATATATTACGTCTATATGCAACATAAACAGATCAATAATGAATCTGGTTTTAATTGGATCAACAATTATTTTAAACCTCAAATTACTGTACCTTTCCATTGCACTAATTACGGTAGAAACAAACCAATTGACCGCATGATGTGGTTGGGTAACGAGGATCCCACCTTTCTTAGTTCACCTTAATATTGTGTTATTGATCTTATAGTATCATTTTTATTATTTTGTTATATTGTGCATGTAATTTTACTTGTGTCCTAATTTTTATAATTTATATTTATTGTACCTGTAATTTTGCTGTATTTTTGGGTCATCGCCCCCTTGTACATGACATTAATTATGTTAAATTACTGTATTATTGTTGTGTGCTGTACTAAATATAGAATTTCTATTCCGTAAATTAATAAACAAATAAACAATTATGTTAGCATAAAAACTTGTTAGTGATAAATGCAATAACATTGATTATAAGTACTAAATTATCATAATATTACAAATATTTTAAATAGTAATTTCTAAAATTAATGAGCGAGTTAATTAACTTATTATCAACCGACATTTTAAAACTTGTAATAAACTCACACAAATTATAATAAACTTAAAATAAATTAGATATAACATTTAACAGTGATATAAAATTCTTATAATTATTTGTATATTCATATACATTGTTATTGTAAGCCTAATTATCAGTAATAAATAATGCAAATCCCCATTCTTTTTAAGAAACATTAGGGTAGGCATATAAAAAAGTCTTAATTTATATAATTTTTTTTAAACATATTTAACAATAGTAGTGTGAAAAAATTGTTTATTAACACTTTTATTATAGTGTTTTTATTTAGTGATTTAAGGTTCCAAACCTTAGTTATTATGCAATTTTAAATAGTATTTACYTATAAAGTTTTGATTATTAATATTCTTATTTAAAATAAATATCATTTGATTCAGGTGTCAGGCGAGTTGGTTGATAAATGACTTTCAATGTGCCATTGCTTTTCAAATCCAGCTACAATAAAATAAATATTGACATATTTGTATATTTCAATTGGATATACTAAAATTATTGTTTGAATAAAATCTACCTGGATAAAAATAAGTAAGTTGGTTTTCTTTTTTTAAAACAAATAATAAGTGCTTTAATCAAGTTATCTGWTAGGAATGTGTTTGATTTTAGTTTATTATTGGTTAAAATAATAAAATGTTACCCTAAAAGCGGCTAAGTATTAATTAAATATTGATGTTTTTTT